AGCAGCGCTGAGGAGGTGGGGGGGTGTTAAAAGCATCCCCTTGATCTGAGAAATATATGAAGAAATAAATTAAACAAAAAAGAAGTATCCCCAGGTAGCACTTCTGATCGATGACTCCAGTCTATGAGGAGGATCTTGTCCTTTTCCCGTTCTTCTTTTTTTTTTCCCACCCTTTTTTTTTTCCACCATTTTTTTTTCCCCACTAGCAAAGAAGATTTTTTTTTTTTTTTTTTTTTTTTGCCTGGGGCGAGTTCGCACAGGCGAAGAGGATTGGCTTTGACGGAGAGGTGCAGTTAATCGGGATTGATCTCCTTTTCTGAATCTGTCCGCAAACTCGCCCAGATTCAGTCGTCGAAGCCAATCTCCCCCTCTTTGATCGAATGGGAACTCGCCCAGATTCAGGAGCATGGTCCCACAAGCAACGGGGACTGGATTAAGATCCTGAATCTGGGCGTGTTTTAGGCGGAGATGCAGAAAAGCAGTTCCATCTCGATTTTCGGCACCTGTCCACAAACGCGGCCAGATTCGGGCGTTCTATCCAATCCTCTTTGCGAATGGGAACTCGCGCCAGGAGAACGAAGTGTACCCGGTAAAAGGATTTTTTCCCCCCCTTTTTTTACCGTTTATTTAAATTATTTTCCTTTTTTTTTTTTTCCTTAGATTTCCAGCTGGGGGATGTATATTTAACACGTGGTGCGCGGGTCTCTGATTTGAGAAAACAACCTCGGTTCTTTTATTATGATTAATATATTTTTTATTTCTTCCCTTGTATTTTTTTTTTTTTTTATCAGCTAATAGGGAAAAAAAAACTTTTTAACGGAGTTTTAACTTTTAACTAAGTGTAACGGGTTTTTTTTTTTTTTCCCCGAGAACTTAAGGGGATTTAACGTAATTTGCGAATTTTAACGGGATTTTAACGGCATTTAACGGAACGGAGTCACAGAGTAAAAAAAAAAAAAAAAAAAAAAAAGTCTCACAGAGTCTTGGTTGAATACTACGCACACTTTTTTTTTACTTTTGTTTTCCAATAATCGCGCACATTTAGCTGTATGTTTTTTTTTTTTTCTTTTATTTTTACTTTGCTAGTCATATATTTGACGTAAGTAACGCAATTCCAAGGAATAAATTTAACGCAATTTGAGCGAATTTAACAGAATTTGACAATGAGAATCAATGAATGAGAACAGCCAAGGAGAAAATATATAGAAAGAATTGAGAGATGAATATATGACGATATATATGTTTGTGACGATATATATATCATCCCAAATAGAACTGCCCGGTAAACCGTAGGCAGAGAGAGAGAAGAGGACAACAATATATATATATATATATATTTTTTAAGAATAAAAAAAAGAGGGAGGTCCGTCGGTGCCAGACTCCTTGTCCACTTAGCATTAAAAAAAAAAA